CTATTTGGGGTGGTGATACTACGATACTATTATCCAATTAATTTATTATTTTTTGTTTTTAATTGCGTATGAAATTTAATGCATGTCAGATCGGTCTAGTGGTAGTGATAGTAGTTCCGAGAGTTCTGATTTAGATGAAAACTACGTCCCATCGCGATCGATTAATAAAAATCTATTAGGATCGTTTAGACCCGTGACTAGATCACAGAGTAATCTTCAAAAAGAAACATTAATAAAAGATCGTAAGCAATCGAAAAGTTTTAATTCAAAAATATTAATAGATTTAAAAGATAATACTCAAACTTTAGAATATAATAGCTCAATGGCACTCCCTTCTTCAACCACATTATCCTTAGAGACAGCAATTAAATTAATCCCACATTTCAATGGAGAAAATGTTCAGGAGGTGTACCCATTTATAAATGCATGCAATTTTGTTATGCAAAATGTTGAAGAGACCATACAGCCTGTGCTCTTACAGGTTATAATAACCAAATNATGCACACCAGGATATCTTCAGTTAGAGCTCACTACGACTAAATTCCAACAAGGAGAAACCGTAAGAGAGTATGCAACCAAAGTAAAAAAACTATTGCACGAACTCTGCAATGTAAGCACAAAGGATAAAACGTCCAGTGACGCAAAAGCTATACATAACTACATAAAAGAAACAACCTTAACTATATATATTGAAGGTTTACCATCTTCTATTCGAGGTGTAGTGAAATCAAAGAATCGCCCAACGTTAGAAGAAGCCATAAAGTATAGCTTAGAAGAAGAAAAAATTTATCAATCAAATAAGGGAACCCAACGTTTGTTGAATAACAAACCAAATTATAGGTATGACAGTAAATATTGTATAAATTGTCGGAAATCAAACCATAATACAAATTAGTGCAGATATGGAAATCATAATGTTGATACTGGACAACAAAATAAACAATCCAAAGGATTCAATAATCAAAGAAATCAGGATACTAAACAAGTATCATGTATTTATTGCAAGAAATTTGGTCATACAATAGAAGTATGCTATAAGAAGAAAAATGCAGATTCAAGAAAAGAAAGTCAAGATAACCCATCAACGTCAGGAAACGCCAAAGAATCGGTCAAAAAGGGCGTTCGTCCGATTCGCGAATTGAAAATAATAGCCCAACACTAAATGTTCTAACGTACAAAATTAAATTAAAAGATAATCATGCTACATATAAAATACCACAATGTATTAAAGGAATAGCCAATTTATTCATAGATACGGGAGCAGATCTTAATATAATTAAAATCAATGTACTTCAAGACGATGTCATGATGGTATCTGATAGTAAAATTTATAAATTGCAAGGAATTAATGATCAATTAGTTAGTACATTAGGAAGTACTACACTAAACGTATCAATAAACAATAAAGTTTACGAAACAGAATTCCATGTAGTTAATTCAAACTTTCCAATAAACGGAGATGGAATATTAGGAAACCCCTTCCTAAAAGATAACCAGATGTTAATCGATGTTGGTAAAGAAGAATTAATCTTTAAAGCAGATAGTACAACTACTATCCCAGCACGACATGAAATGATTATTCCAATACAATTCGATGTTCAAGATTTATCTGAACAACTAAACATACTCATTCATGCTCAAAAATTAGGCAAAAACATTTTATGTGGAAATATATTAAATATTGTAAAACACAATCAAGTACTTATAAATGTTATAAACCCAACAGAGGAAAATCAAGTTATACCAATACCAAAACTTTCAGATTTATCGCATGAGATTTTTGATATAGTTTCAATGGATAACATACAAACTAGTAAAGCAAATGTAAATACGGAAAATCGTATCCAACTCCTAAAAAACACGCTGAAATATGACCATATGAATGCAGAAGAAAGGGAAGTGATTCTAGATTTATGTAGTGAATTTTCAAATATATTCTATTTAGAAGGAGACCAAATGACGTGTACCAATGCGATGCAACACGAAATTAAAAGTCCTGGAGTCACTCAGCCAATTCATCAAAAGCCATATAGACTTCCTTATGCTCAAAAGAGAGAAATAGCGAAGCAAGTTGGAGAAATGCAACGAGATGGTATAATTACATCAAGCGATAGCCCTTGGAATGCACCATTATTAGTTGTACCCAAAAAATCAGATGTATTTGGAGAAAAAAAATATCGAGTAGTTATGGACTTCCGCAAACTAAACAGTATTACTGTTGGAGATGCTTTTCCAATGCCAAATATCAGAGATACTTGATCAATTAGGTAAAGCAAAATATTTTACTTGTCTAGATATGACAAGTGGATATCACCAAATACCTCAACATCCAGATGATCGAGAAAAAACCGGTTTCAGTACGGACCAGGGCCATT